TAAGTAAAGCGATAAATACATAATGCATCCGACGAGTTTCCCATACACTCGTGCGCGTTCGTCTCTTTCTCTCTCTCATTCGTCGGCGAATGCAGTCGCCTCGCTGCAGTTCCATGAAATAATGCATCGAGCCGTGAGTCGTCGCGGATTTATTTGCACGATCGACGGGGACCATTCTCAGGAGGAAAGCATCTCCGCGCTTTTTGCGACACGTCCTCGTCATCGGATAAGAGGACACGCAGAGGGATGCAAAATCGAAGGGCTCTAGGAGTTGAAACCGCCGTGGGAAAACGAGCGGAAAAGCAGGCCGCTTTAATAATGCATTAATTCCAACGCGATTCGTAGTGCGCGACGAGAGAATGTTTATGTAAAACGGATTGTTGGTATTATATGACGGAACCCATGCACAGTAGAAAAATTTGTTTTCCTGTTAAAAACGGTCCCCGTGAAAATTTTTGTGTAAATATTTAACACATGTGTTAATTTTATATATTACTGTTCCGTTAATTGAACTTAAATGGTAAATTATTAAAAGAATTGAAAAAAATGTAAAAATAACACAATGTGCATATATTTTTAATTTTACGCAATAAATATGTCCCGACAAGATTTCTCTGTTAAAATTTACAGAAAAAATGTTGATTTTCTATTTTATAATATAAGTGGGAATGATAAAATCTAAAATTAACATATTTTTTGTTAATTTTGCACAAAATTTATTTTAAATTACTTGAAGTTTGTATTTATTTTGTGTTAAAATATTAATACAATCTTTGTGTCTCCATTTAACACCATATTATATTAAATTAACCGAAAAATTTCTATGGACCGTTTGGGACAATTAAACGGCAATTATTAATAATAATTTTTACTGTCTGTTAGGCACTTAATTCTTACGTAAATTAAACTTATTAAAAGTGCTCTAAAATGTTGAGAAACTGTTCATTTATTTCTATATCTTATATAATTTTTATATAATCTCTTTTAAATTTTTATAATTTACAATTTATCTTTTTAATTTTTTATATTATAATTTACAATTTTTTAATAATTTTATATATAACATATACACACAAAATTACATTACACTCACACACCTTTTAATAAGGCTAAATTCTTCTATAAGCATCGATGATGTATCCACGTCTGACTGTTTCAATAGAAATTCCACTGAATTTCTCTCACTCGCATCCGAATCAACGAAAATGAGAAAAAGAATTATCATGGGCCAAAGTTCTTGACATTATAAGTGTCCTGAAATTCATTTAATATATAATACAATGGGTTTCCATTTAGAATTTTATTTCATTTATTATACACTGAAAAAAAATTATTTAAACTAATAAATATTTATTTCAATACTGCCTTATAAATCATTTATTTGGAACTAATAAATATTTCTCTGCTTGGAAATAGATTTTTTTATATCGAATAAATATTTTTTCACATCAAATGAATATTATTAATTTGAAATAAATGATTTATAAGGCAGTATTAAAATAAAATATTTATTCGAATTCAATAACTTGTTTTCAGTGTACGTTCGATAAATAAAAAAAAACGTAAAAATCTTAATTCTTAAATTATCTCGCTCTTATATCATCACGTGATCGCGATATATTTTCTCGATAATTCTAAAATTGCATTATCACTTTCTTATATGCTCGCCATAATTATTACGGAATTAAAATACAAAAATAATTTGTTTCTAATTATTTCTCATTTTTAATTATTCCTCATTTGTTATGCGCATAAAAATAAATTCCAATTAGCATTTCGTCAATTTTAGTATACATGTCATATATATATACATATAATCGCGATTAATTTCAAATGATTGCTATTGTATACGTTATTCCATTTATTTAATTTAAAATTCTTAAAAATGTTTTATCTCAAATTCGTAATATTCCATTTATATGTGTACAAAATAAATCCATCAGCGCGTCTCATTGAAAATCTAATTGTTTAGTCGCGGTAGATAAAATGCGCGCATCAGAGAGAGGGATCGTAAATAAGCCACTTCCTATGCTCGCGCAAGAATTATTCGTGTTGCGCGATACTTCCTTTTTTTTTCCTTCGAGTATAAACGGAATACTACGCGCGTAAACTCGTTTCCTCTAATTTCATTCAATTACACTATTTTATGCAAACGGACAAGAGAACGCAGCCGGCAATAGGCCGCTAATTACCGCTGAATAAAACTCGGAATGGTGCTTCGATGCTTCGTATATATTTATATCAGCACGGGATCACAATTAAGAATATTCCATGACGTTCCGTGACGAATTTTAATATTCCATTTTATATACCTCTCTAATCTGCCTCTCTTCCGCTCACTTATCTATCTCTTGGCTGGATTTTTTTTTATTCTTCTTCTTATTCTTTTACCTTAATTAGCCGTCTTGGCGTGTCAATCTACGAATATTAAAATAATTGTACAGTATATTATATACATATATATATATATATATACAGGGTGTCCCACTGTTTTAAACAACGCACCTTGATAATTCTTCAATGAAACGTTTTTAGCAAAAAGTAAAGGTCAACTTCAATTTTTTAAATGAAACCATTTATTTTTCACTCCCATACAGCACAAAATATTATAAATGTTTTCAAAAAATATTGAAAAAGCGCATCTCGATAATTTTTCAACAAAGCATTTTTAGTAAAAATGTTTCACGTGACCTTCATGTGACCTTCAAATGACTTTTCAAGGTCAAATCAATGACACCATCTTATGTCCCCCGGGTCATTCGAAACCATTCAGACAAAAGTTGTATAATTTCGAGGAGGACATAAGATGGTGCCATTGATTTGACCTTGAAAAGTCATTTGAAAGTCACGTGGAGATCAATTTCAATTTCTTAAATGAGACTAATCAGTTGGTGTAAAGAAAACACATAGCTGCTTTAAAAATGATGTATGTTATTATATATATATATATATATTTTATAAAAAGCAACTATGTGTTTTCTTTACACCAATTGATTAGTCTCATTATTCGCGCATAAAAGTATTAAGGTATGATTACCGAAAATTTAACGTTTCACAAAATATTTCACATTTTGGCATAAAATTGTTAGCTTCAAACCTTTATAACTCAAAGAGTACTCCATGAAAAATTACTTTATAAGATTTTGGAAAGCTCTCGAGATAAGCTATATACAAGAATACACAATGAAAAATTGATGGTTCCATTTAAGAAATCGAAGTTGACCTTCACGTGACCTTTAAATGACTTTTCAAGGTCAAATCAATGGCACCACCTTATATTATCACTCACAGACCGTCCACGATCCCGCGATATATTTATATAGGGATAACATGAATGAATATATATCTTCGCATCTTTCCCGACCATTCGTTAAAGTCAAAGTAGCGAGATGCAACCCTCGCGATTATCTGTCTCATTCGGCGCTTATACATATTTAGTCGGATGCTTCGCGATATGTAACCCTTCCGCCGCAATTACACTCGTTATTCACGCGGTAATAAAATATCAGCGCCGCGGATTCTCTCTTTAACAACTCTCGCAATTAATCCGCGTGCTCGCGCGGAGGACATAGTTAACATATAGTTAGTTAGATCTGAAGAAATGAACGCGAGAAATAGAGAAATAACTTTATGGGTACTGATTTCATAATTGGATCCTTATGCGCTCGGATATAATTGGACTAATAATTCGCATAAATTAATGCCGAAACCGGGGCCAATTAGTATAAAAGTGATAAAAAACTCGACGCCGCGCACAGAGAGTATATATACATATATATATACACTTCCTCTCGTCTCGCCGATTTCTTAAGTTAACCTTGCGAACATTATTTCGGCGTGTTTGTATGCGCGCCGACGCGATTATCAAGAGAGGCTGGGTTCAACAACATCACTTTTACAGAATACGCTGGAAATGATAGATAAAATTATCGCGGAATATTCATACTAAAATAAAAATATAGATATGTGTAATACATACTTTTATAATTCCATTGATTATCAGATATTATTCATAAAATAAAAAAATAATCCAATTATATATTCTTATATTTCCTTCTAATTATTTTCAATTATTATAATTATTTATTTGTCATAAATATTTCTATTTATTATAATTATTTTTATTTTAATTTCTCATATCCCCATACATTCGAAATTTATATATTAATATTGCATTAATTATATCATATTAATTATATAGTTGATATTAAAATATAATATTAATTATAAAATATAATTAATAGTATACACATTTTATACGTATATAAATATATTATTAATTATAATATAGATATAAATAATTAATATTATATACATTTTATATAAATATAAATATGATATTAAATATTAATATTACTTTAGAATGCCGTTTTGAATGACGATTATCAAAATGCGGTCTCCATATTCGTTCCTCGATTGTTTCTCGTTAGTTTTATGTCTCTCTCTCTCTCTCTCTACTTTCCTTTGACATTTTACAATCTTCCCAGCGAGATAGGATGCATATACTCCGCGAGAATCATGGAGGGTAAGAGTTTCGCTATCAACAATCGTTCTCAGCAGTGTCAAGCCGTTTCCGACATGAAGGATCTGGAGATCGTCGGTAGCAAGAAGCCTTGCAAATGTTGTCACGAAGTACGTCTTCCCTCGCATATTTACTCGCCTTATAAGATGCTGCGAAATGATACTTTAATCTTTTTTCACCTCCTTACTCTTATTCTATTTAAGCCTCTATCTAACATGTCATCGTCCATCATTTGCGAATTCTTTGCGAAATATGAGAGAACATCGCGTTCTTAATAATGAATCTGGATAATTTAATGAACATTAATTATCGCGCTGTAATAATAAGCTTGATACAAGGTGAAAATTTAAACTTATTAAGATATACAAATTAAAGTATAAGTTAATACGCACGCAAAAGATTATTATTATATTATTTAATATGCAAATCATTGTTTTGCGATGATCCAATTATTCACATTATTCTCCTTTTTTTCTAGATCAAGATCAAAACCGAGATTCTGGATGAGATTGAGAATTTTTCGATCAACGACGAGCTGGATGTCAGAAATTTACCATCAGAAAATGCATCGCGCCATGAAAATTCCGAGCGGAAGATCTCAGAATCGGACTGTCAAAGAAACGCAAGCGTTTCGCTTTCCCGGAAACAAATGGACGAGTACACTGACTTAAAGGAATACATCGTGGCACATGCAGGACGGGGGCTTTTAATGTGCAGCGTCTGCAGGATCGAATTTCCGAACGAGATCGAATTCGGGATCCACATGATTGGACATAGCCATGAGAGGCTTTTTCAATGCGGATTTTGCGGAAAACAATTTTCACGGTAGCCGAATAATATAAAGTCTTATTTTGCTTATCGCGATATAAGTAGAGGAAATAGTTTTGTTTGTGTTTAAACAGAAATTTTTTTTTAAATCCGATTAATAAGGCCTAGTTTTATCATCCTGAGTTAACTTAATTGGCTGATTAAATTTGTCACCAGAATTGCCAACAAGAAACGTCGAGGGTCGTCATTTTTAATCTTGTCCATATCTATTTTTGTCACAGCAAAAAAGAAAAGTGCAGTATAAAATACAAAATAAAAGAAATATAATAAAAGAATAATAAAATAAGAATAATAAAAGAATTTGTGAGGTTTTGTATTAGCTATACAGATTAAAAAATCCTTCTCCACAATTGAAGTACTGATAATATTGAACGGGGAGCGTTGTAATTTCGTTTAAAAAAAACTAAAAGTTAAAGAATTACAGTTTTTTTATCGGCCTCTTTCATCAGTTCATAACAATACTTATTTAATACAAAAGTTCTGCAGTTTATTTGTGCACAAAATATGGCGCTCCCAGTAGAGATGCCATGAAAGAATAATACAGAGGTAATAAAATGAGATTAAAAGCCTGTATGAAAAATTTCGGAGGATTTTTCAATCTGCATATTCAATAAAAAGTGAACCTAACCTAACTTAAAGTCGGTAAAACAGAACTACGGCAGCGTCCCCTTAAGTTAATCGAAGATGGTAAAACTATCGATTAAAATTGTAATAGGAGTACATAATTTTTTGTATCACATTACACATTCAAAGCACAGAACATCATATAACGGCCTTTTGAAACGTACATATATACACAGTCCGATATTGCTGCTTCTTCACTGGCCTGAAACGGCCTTCATCGCTGCACACAGTGTTTATTACTAATAATGCAATTACCCTTCCCATCAAGATCGTCAACCTTAAAGGATCACCTGCATATGCATTTTATTCCGAAGCCTTTTGCGTGCAGACAATGCGAGCTTCAATTTCAGGTAGTTAATGCTAATAACCATATTCGTAGATCGTAATCGCGCAGATATCATGATTCCTTCAGAACTCTTTGCTGCACAAACTGCCGTGCTTGCTTTCGTATTCATTTAAATAAACGCTCGACGAAACATATATCTGCTGCATGCAAAATTGCGATCAATCTAATCTGTCAAATAAAATCTATCGAGAAAGAAGTCGAAGACATTTGAAGAGATGTATGCAAAAAAATTAAAACACCTTTCAAATAATTTTTTATTATAGCAAAAAAAAAAAGTGTAGTATAAAAAGAATTAAAAAATAAAATTGAAGAATAAAAAAATTAAAGAAATATAATTTTAAAAAATAATGAAAGAATAATAAGAATAATTTTGTAGATAATTTTATTGTTTTTTTTTCGCAGAAAAAACGCGCGTTGAAAAGACACCAGACCAAAGTGCACTCGGGGGGAAGAGTGTTCCAGTGTCCCGTTTGCAAGAAAAAATTACTACGTCACCGATCGCTGCGCGATCACGAACTGATGCACGCCAACGCGAGGCTGCACAAGTGCGCAACTTGCGGCAAGAGCTTCCCGAGGTCCAGCAGCCTCCGGACTCACATGATCGTCCACACCGCGGACTCGCCGTTCGCCTGCGATCTCTGTCCGGCAAAGTTCAAGAGATCGTCGGTGCTGAAGACGCACAAGCTGACGCACACGAGCGTGAGAAGGTTCGAGTGCGACATCTGCAAGCATCGTTTTCACCTGAAAGGCGCGCTCAAGCACCACATATTGGCTCATTACGGTGTGTAAGCTTTCGCGAATATTCTCACAACTTTACTGACCCAGTATGAGGAACATGGGCGTCCGCAGGAATTTTTTCCAGGGAGGGACATAATTAAATTTTTTTACTTTTTATTATATTATTCTTTCTTAATTTTTTAAATTCAATTTTTTAATTATTTTTTTATTTTAATATTTTATTATTTTATTTTAATATATTTATATAATATTAAATAAAATTGCAGATAAATTCCAGTGTTTATTCACAATGCTTAATTTTTTTACTGATTCCTAGGAGGGGTCAAATGCTCTCTCTTAATTGCTTCCTTCTGCGGACGCCCATGATGAGGAAGCTGAATCTGGTATCTGTCACTCTGAGTTGCTCTCGATCAGCCCGAAATCGCGCTATTTATATATCTCTGCTACCTTTTTTTTCCTTCATCTCAAGCTGTTCTCATATATCGGCTCATTATGACGTGTGAGCTCTTGCGAATATTCTCACAACTTATGGTATGAGGAAGCTGAATCTAATATCTGCCGCACTCGATAAGACTGATATCTCGCGCTATTTCTATAGCTATCTCTTGATTTTTTCTGTTTCTTTCATTTATCGCGAAGAACCAGAAACTTCTCATATAAATCCAGGGAAATGTTTAGCCTGTGAAACGATCATTCCGGACAAAGGAGCATATATATACTCGAGATAATCGGTAGCGCTTGGTTCACAAGTACGCGTACAAATGATCATGCATAAACGCATTTTTCAACGCGCTTTTATAAATACATTCGTGCGCAGAGAAGACCTCGGGCGTTACCACGGGCGGAAATGTGTATCCCGGACTTTTAATTAACCTCTGTCTAACCGAGGTGAACGTATGGAAGCGCCAACTTTGCCAACTCCTCGACCTGTTACTTGAAAAATCCACGATTCTTGAAAAATATTACGGTTATTAATATCGTACGTTCGTGATTTATGCTTTGCATATCGGGATAATTATTGGTTATTGGCTGATTTGTATGTATATATCTATACAACATTGTTATATAAAAATACCCATACAGCACAAAATATTATAAATGTTTTCAAAAGATATTTCTAAATATTTCTATAAAATATTGCATAAAAACATTTTAAAATAGTTTTAGGATTATTTTAAAATTATTGAAAAATTTTTTGTGATAACACTTTTTAAAATATTTTGAAAAACTTTTAAAAACATTTTTAAAAATGTTCTTCTTTATCGCTCAGATAATATTTTCTTAAATATTTGATATATATTTTTGAAATATTAATTTAAATCTATATTCAAAAATATTTTTTAAACATAAAAAAGCGGACATAGAAACATTTTAAAAATATTTTCGAGAATTATTTTATCTTTTAAGAAATATTTTTGAAAGATTTTAAAAATATATTGTGCTATATGTGTATGCATTCTTTTTTCTTGCAATGTCGAGATTTTAAAAACGATTAAAAAGGAAAGAATGAAGAATTCGATTTGCGACAATGTTCAGATAATTTTGGTTTAGAATCATAGCATATAAAAATATTTAAGTAATAGAACTTAAGCAGTAAGCGATAAAAATTTATAAATAAATATATATAAAAAATAATAATAAATATACATAAAAAATAAAAATAAATATAAAAAGATTGAGAGATAAATATGTACCTATTTGTCATTTAAAAATTGGTTTCTGAACTTGTGATTAAATTTTGGTATTATTATAAGATTTGAAATAATTTTAATGTGATTTTTGGTAAAATATAAAAAGGAGATTGTAATTAATTAACATAAAAGCAATATAAAATTATATAAATTTGCAGGTATCAGGCCTACAAATGCGAAGATTGCGGCAAGAGCTACAGGAGATCCTGGGGTCTCAAGGTGCACCGATATCGACACACCGGAATAAAGAAATTTGAATGCGACTTGTGCAAGCTGCGCTTCAGTGTGAAGTCGAAGCTCGCAAATCACATTTATATGCATATCGGCGAAAAACCGTACAAATGTGACATCTGCGGCCGCCAATATTGCGAGAGATATCAATTGAAGGCGCACAAAGGAACACGACATTATTCACAACCCCTCGAAGATCATCTAAAGACCATCTGAATCATTTTCTTTAGCCAAAGTTGTTAAAAAGTCTGATTAAAATAATTTCAATTACATGCATTATTATTTATTATAATAAGACATAATAATGATAAAGAAAATAGAGAATAAAGAAGAGTATCAAAGATTAATAAAGTAAAAATTTGTTGCTGTCTTTCTCTTTGTACAAAATATATATATATATATATATATATATATATATATATAAATAGATTATAAGAGTAGATTTATATTAAATTTTATATATTATATTTATATATTATATATTATATTTATATATTAAATTTATATTAAACTGATATTTAAATATCAAACTATGTAATATAATTTATACTATATAAATATAATATATAAATATAATATATGTATAAATATAAATATAATATAAATATAATATATAAATATATAAATATAATAAAAATAAATATAAATATAAAATAGAATACAAATATATAATATATAAATATACGAGTACAAAAATGACTCGAAAATATTTGTACATTCGCGAATCGTACGGTGCGCTAATTTCGAGGCGTAGATATATCGCCGGCGCGATTAATTTAATTATTACCGGTCGCGATTGCTTATAATGAGACTCGATACAATGGTCGGGCGGCCGTTTCGTTCGTGATCGAATCTATCCAACACGGATACCGTCCGTGTTTGCATGCCCGTGAAGCTTAATAAGGCATGGCCTTAATAAGCACTTCGCCGCAGAACAAAACACCGATTAATCCCAGACCGGACCGACTCGCCGATACGGATTGCTTTCGAAGCTCGCAGGGATAGGTCTCTTCTCTCTTACATATAGGCTCTCTTTCGCGTCATCAACGTATCGTATATAATCACAGTCTTTATTCGATATTGCTCGAACGTGATCCCGGGATCATCGAACGGCGCAGCGCGAAATTAATGCAACTTCCAACAGACGTAACAGTCCTTCCAAAGTAATTATTTACTTTCTAACAAAGATATATATATATATATATATACTCAAATACCCACAAACACACGTTTCGTTATAACGGCGCAACGTACGTCATACTTATAGCCATATATAATTGTTTACGTAATTCCTACATTCCTATCGTGGAGAGAAATCAGATTTAATACAGCAATAGCAGATATATAGTCTTCCTACCACGACAACGCATCTAAAAAATTAATTATTTCTTCCTTGATTTCGTAAAAAACTTGCAACCACGCGAAGGAAATAAAATAATCGGCGACTCTCACTTTATATCTACTGATTTCGCAGATATAAATGCCTTTAGCATTTAATTATGAAGACGGAACTTTAATACTAAAAAAAGAGCAACGTTTTTCTTTTAATTGTGATTAATTGCAATCGTTGCTCAAACTTAAAATGTATTAGAAAAACTCATTAAAAAAACTGAGGGAAAATATAGAACACGCAATCTATGAATTATCCAAGAATTATCCGCGAATATCCCGCAAAGAAATTAATACAACGTCTTTTGCAGTGTTGTGCTTAGATGATTTTAAAATTAATTAGATAAAAATGAGACGAAAATATGTAATTTATCTTAGTGAAAAGGATGGTTTTATTTTAAATATATCTAGATAAAAGATAAACATAAAAATATAAACATAAATTTATATATATAATATATTTATATACCCATACAGCACAAAATATTATAAATGTTTTCAAAAAATATTTCTAAATATTTCTATAAAATATTGCATAAAAACATTTTAACATACTTAGGAATATTTTAAAATGATTTAAAAATATTTTATAATAACATTTTTTAGAATATTTTAAAAACCTTTCAAAAATATTTTTAGAAATGTTCTTCTTTATCGCTCAGATAATATTTTCTTAAATATTTGATACTTTTGATCTTTTTGAAATATTAGTTTAAATCTATATTCAAAAATATTTTTTAAACATGAAAAAGCGGACACAGAAACATTTTAAAAATATTTTCGAGAATTATTTTATCTTTTAAGAAATATTTTTAAAAGATTGTAAAAATATTTTGTGCTGTATGAATATATATATATATATATTTTTTATTGTACATAATTTAGAGTAAAGATAGCACTTTTTTATCTAATAATAAGATGCAGGTATAACTAATACATTTTATTATTTATATAAAGATAAGATGGCACGAAAATGTTATCTAGATGATCTATATAATTTTATTTAGATGACAGCAAACACTGGTCTTTAGAGGCCCCGCTACGGAAGTATCCCGAGCACGTGGGCCTCGCTTATGTCGCCGCACGTGAGAATGGTGCTTTAAGGTGCGTGGACACAGCGGGCGAGAGAGGCTGGTACACTCATAATCTGTAAGATGCTCCGCTTCTTATCAGATCGCATCTCTGATTCGCGTGCCTTGCGGCTAAACTCTTTGACAGTGCCGACACGTATACGCCTTTTGACCCCGTTTCTCTATTTAGGAGCAGCAGGAAGTAAAAAAAAAAATTTTTGCGATTTACATTTTACGATAGAGAATTTTCGAATATAAAATTAGCGCGAAAAGAGACGAAAATTATATTTGAATTTATTTTCATATATCTGAGATATAATTGTGTGTATGAAATACGTCAAAAAAAATATATATATATTAATAATAAATTCAATTTGAAATAATTAAAAATGTTATATATTTATATTATTATATTATTTACATGTTATTATATATAAATATATATATATATATATATGTATATATAAATATATCGATTATTATATTTATGAAATATCACGTATTTAAATGATTTGAAATTTAGATACATCTCGACTTTATTAAAATTCAAATTCTGTTTGCGCATAAACTCGACCAAAACGAGTTAAAAGAGAAAATATAAATAGAAATTAAAATATTGCAACAGAATTTTTATTGAGAAATATGTTACCGTACATTTGAATCAGCTCGATTATTATACTTGCATCTATGCGTTATGTAACGGAAATTGTGATTATAAGTGTATGCCAGTCGTAAAAAAACTTCTCTCGAGCCGCGGGAGAAGTTTCGTTTAACGATTTTTTATAATAGCTATAATAATTTAAACAGCCAAAGTTTATGAAATATTCATAAATCAATTATGCAATCCTATTCGAAAGCGTACTAACAATAAGTAGACCGTCACGATTTCGTCTGACTCACTGACAACTTCGATAAGAAGTAAATATATTTTAATAATTTGCTTTCCTTTTCATATACGATTCAATTTTTATTACAGCTTGTTCTCGTATACAATGCGCATATAATTTAGGAAAATATATAATTAAAAATATAATAAATATATAATAAAAAAGAAAAAGTTTTATATAAATATATATATTATAAATATTATCATACGTTATTATATATTATTAGAATATATCATAGAATAATATAGAATAATCAAAATTTGAGCAAAAAGATTAAATAATCTAATCGATTAACCGATTAATCTATTTTAATCAATAATTCGATTGTAATCGATTAATCGAGTTACTCGATAATCACGAGCCCTAATGAACACTTTTCAATGAATCTATTTAGTTTATTTGGTCAGACGAGACTCGTTTTACCTTTATGCTGTACATACATACATGACTCGGACATACGGCTTCCTCGCAACGGTGCGATTTAAATACGCGGATTTCGTGCTCATATCTTCTGTCTAATTATGCCCGCGCTTCGCGAAATCTACCATCTGACTGTCCGCGTTACACACGCAGAGAGTCACGCCAAGTCCTAATTATTTAGATAGCGATCGAAGCGGTTTTAATTATTATGCCCTCTCCCTTCCGTCGTTGCTCCGTTCGCCGGTATGCTAATGGCACTTAATGCAGATAGAAACGCCGATACTAATTCTCTCTTCTTTATTTATTTTTTTTTTTTTTAATGACGTATACCGCTTATTAATTGCGAACTTATGTCCAACGGACGGATGATGGATTTGAAAAAAGACCGAGAGAAACAGCAACAACCCCGTATTATATATTCCTCTTACGTAATGCGGCCGTTTTTCCGGCTAGCTGATATATAAAGTACGACGGGAAATGCTTATTTATGTAAATTTATTAAACGCAGTGATACTAGAGATTGATATTATAGATTAGGAGTCGGAATAAAACATTAAGAAAGAAAGGGAGAAATAAAACTCGCTCGAATTTCTATTCTGTTTGAAATATATATGTTATGCATATCTATTGAATTCTCTCCCTATGCCATAATAAATAAACGCAAATTGTAATATTATATAATATTATACAATTTTATATCATTTTAATATTACATCGAAAAAAATATTAAATTAATAAATATTTATTTCAATACTGTGCCTAATAAATCGTGTATTTGAAATAAATATTTATTCGTGAGAAAAGAATTTTCTTATATCAAATAAATATGATTAGTTTCAAATAAATTTATTTAGCAGTATTAAAATAAATATTCGAATTTAATAAATTTTTTTAGTGTACACAAAGTTAAAATTTATTATAATATATTATAATTAATAGAATTAAATATATCATAATTAAAATAAAAATAAAAATATAAAAATGGATAAAATTAAAAAAAATACATTGGATAACAATAAATAAATATTTCATAAATTAACATTAAATTTTATTAAATTTAATTTTATAAATATATAATTAAAAATAAAATAAAAATGGATAAAATAAAAAAAATAAATTAAAACAATAAATAAATATTATTAAAATTAAATTTTATGAATTATCAATAAAATTGTACAATTTGCGATGAATCTGTAAGCTTCAGCCGGACACAAAGTCGGATCGTTCCCACAATAAGAGCTGCTGAAAAACCCAACAGATATGCCTCGATGCGCGAAGATCCGTAAAAGAAAAATGGGACGAGGCATATTAA